GTATACCGTATGCTTAAGAAATGAGGTCGCCAAGATTCAAACACAAAAATTTCCGACCAACTATTCTCAATTAAACGCGACCTAGTTTTGATATCAATTAACTATCGTACCTAATTTAAACATTTTCTCCCGAACCAGTGTGGGTCCCGAGACCCACCCTGTTACCCTCTCCCTCCGCCACTGTATAGATGGTTGATCATTCCCTCTATACTCGTGTAGCATCAATGTGGTATCACTAGAGGATAATTTCTTAACAACCCAAACGATACTAAGCACAATGCATATAGTAGCATACTATAGAGTCATAAGCATCTATGATAATGAAGAATTGAACTAAATGAGCATCGATAACAAACACATATGCATCAGACAATAAAACATCAATGCACGCACATAGGGCATCGAAAATCACAAGCATCAACACAAGCATAATATGAAATCATATCATCAACGCATACAAAGATAAAAGAGTTCATATTCTCATACAATCAATATCTAACTAGCTATACATAGAAGAGAAGGATGGTACCACCATCGATGAAGAAGGCATATCCTTAGCGGCTCCCTTTCCTACGAATACTAAGCTCTCACTCGAACATAGTGTTTATAGTAGTTTTGAATTAAATTATGTAGACTACTGAACTAATAAGCCTAACTCTCTATTTATAGTGGTAGAAATTCATAGAGAGGAGGTGAAGCCCTGTTAGAGCTCGAAGGAGATTTGTCACAATTGATGCATGTATCATTGGAGATGTCTTCCTATTCTCCTATGCATAACTAGCTTGAAATTGTTTGGGGATGCGGATCTATAATGCTTTATGTACTACTTTTTATAATTCAATGAGATGCCTATTGTGTTCAACGCTTTTATCATCAATGCTTAAATCAATTAATGCTTGCATCATCGATTGCTTATTCATTCGATGCTTTAGTCTTTGTTTTCTTTAGTTGTTTTATGTGTGTGACTCTCATTGTATGATACTATATCATCGTGCTTAGTATCATCTAGTTTGTTAAGAAATTATGCTCTAGTGATACCCCATTGATGTTATGCGAGTATAGATGGAATGACCAAACCATCTATACCTCGAGTATTATCAATGCTTGATTGTTAGATCATTGATGCTATAGACCATCGGTTATGGCTCAGAGGGCCCACACTTAATAATATGCGATGAGTTGATATATACACATGTTTTTATCCACCATTCTTATGTCGTTTGAGCCTCATTTCTCGTATCTTAGGTCGATTTCACGCTAGGTTGTTCTCGTTTGTGTTATTTCAGGTCCTAGTACGTGATTGGAGGTTTGGGATCGAGTTTCGGGTCGATTGACCGAAAGTTGGACGTCTGGCGAGAAGCTGAGGAATCCACACGGCCAGACCTAGCAGCCACACGGCCGTGTGGTGTGGCCCTGTGGAATTCCATTACGCGGCCAAGCCACACTGGCCGTGTATTGGATCCCTTGTGGCCGTGTGGAAATTCTAGGGAGCTCACACGGACAGGCTGATAATCTACACGGCCGTGCGCTTCTGGCCGTGCAGCGTGCCTGAAGACCACTTAATCGAAACGCGGCATTTTCACATCCACACGGGCAGACTGGAAAGCCACACGGCTGTGTGGCCTGGCCGTGTGATCGGGAAATTCTGGGTTTTAACCCAATTTCGAGCCTAAGGAGAGAGAATCGATTTTCTGGAGAAAAAACAGAGCTCTAGAGAGAGAAAGTGCGAAGAACACCCCCTAATAAGAGTGATTTTGGAGCTGGGTTTCATCAATCAAGCTTGGAAATCATCCTTGGAGTGAAGATCATCATCCCAGAGCATATTCTTCCCATCTTGATGAGTATGACTGCTTTGTTTGCTGTTTTCCTCTCTCTCTATGGAGTAGAAGCCTCTCTCACTTGGGTATGAAGAACCCTAGTTCTATGTGTTAGGGATCATTGTTGTAACGACGTTTGGATTGTGATATTGTTTGATTATAATCTATTGAAGTGTTTTGATTGAGTCAATTGAAGCCTGATCATCTTTTATTGATTTCTGCTGCAACCTGAGATAGATAGAATCTGATTAGGTTGTTAGAGCTTCTTCAATCGGTAGTAGTGAATCGATTATATGAGAGTTAGTCGATTTACTGCTTTGTACTTGAATTCAGTTCCAGCAGTGGAGTTCTGTGTTCGTAGCCTCAGCTTTCTATCCCGATGAAGACTAGTCGTTTGCCGGGGAGTTTGACTGAGAGGGATTGGTCAGCTTAAGAGATTCCAAGCTACTGTCGGATCTTCCGCAGTATAATCAACAGTAAAGCAACCAAAAGTAATTACAACTGTGAACTAACTAAGGAGCTAAGGGGACTCATTCCCGAGGGACTCTTCCCTTGCTTTAGAAAACCGAACAATTTCCTGCTTTCTACTGCATTTCCAGACTACGATTTCACTTGGTCGTAGTTTGGTGTTGTGTTTTAGCGTGTCAATATGTTATCCTAATTTACTTGTTCTTCATTAATTGGTGATGACATGAAGTGAAAGCATGCATTAGTTAATCAAATTCCTATTGCAAGAGGCTATTGCACTAGTAGAAAGCGGCCTTAGAGGAAGGGATAGAACATCAAAACAAATGAAGCATACAAGCATCTCGTTGTTGAGTTAGTATGCAATTATGCTTTATCATCTAGAGAACTCCACCTCAAAAATCCTTTTACTTGCCTTCTCACATTTGCTTTCTTGCTTGCATTGTTTGTTTTCCATTTACTTGCATTGGTAGCTTAGAACTCGAATTAGGGCACCTCAACAAACATCATATTTACTTTCTTGCATTCATCATTCGAATCAAATTGGTTAGATTTGAGTAGTTATTATCAAAAGTCCTCGTAGAATACAACCCTAAAAACTCCTAGAATTTGATCACTTGTTATTGCAATCAAGTTGTTATCATGAAAGCTCAATATTCTTCTCTTAATAGCTCCTTTGGTACTCCAGAGTTATCCAATGCTTGATCCAAAAATACCACCCTTTGCGAAATAATTCCATTTATAGCACATTTTCAAACAAACCGCAGGGGGCCACGTTTTACACGCAGACTGTAGGGGGGAACTGTTTGTGTTTGTTGGAGCCACAAACCGCGAGTCGGCGTGGCGGTCAGACAGACTGTCGGATCCCCTCACAATCCGGCAGCTGTCTGCTAGCCAACTCAACGATCTGTGCGACCGTGGCTTGGATCTGCATCCCCTACGCATAAACCGCACCCCCCAGCCACGGTTTCTCTTTGAAATTTGAAAACCGCCCCCTTCTTCCACTGTTTTCAATTTTCCTTCCCGCCCAAAAGGTCCCCCCCCCCCACCCCACGGTTTGTGGCTATAAACCCCCCCATCCCCTCTCCATTTTCTTCACATCAAAACCAACCCTTCTCTTCCTCTCTAAGATTTTCTCTCTACCTATCCCCCTCTCCACCCAAAACTTAAGGAATAGTGGTCTGTTGGTTGCGGCTAAGTTCGAACTGCCATAAGAAAACATTTCTTAAGTTTTTTCCTCCAAAACCCGTCGAACCTCTGTCCGCCTTCCTTAAAAAATGGACCAAGATTGGTACCAACAAGAGGGTTTTTATTATGATGACTATCAAGCGTACTCATTCTACTATTTTTTTGTTCTTATAATTCTTGTTAATTAATCTATATACTAATTAATTTAATTTATTGTTATGCTATCGTAGGTTGGGTCGGACGTAGATATTTATGATCAAAGGTATTATCTTGATTAAGGACCTCACGATGCAAGTGTTCTTTACGACCAACCTAACCATCGTTCAAGGGATGTTTGGAACAATTTGGCGGTACATATACGTCGTTGGTGGAGGAAGAAGAAGATTCACGCTTTTAGAATTATTTTTTCCTTCCATTTTCTTTTGTATTTAATAATTTATTTTTTAAAATTAATAATAAAAGATATTATATGGTGACTACCATGTGGGAGCCAGGTCAGCATCGTAAAGATTAGTCAGCATCATCTAACATAATTATTAACAGAGAGTTAACGTTTGGCTAATAATTTGTATTTTGATAGTTGTGGGTATTATTCCCTACCGCTTAATAGTTCTGGCTAATATATTGTATTTACCCCATTCAAAAATGTATCAAGACTAGTATCCAGAATGCTCATACTAGTATTCAAGTTTTTCACACTAATGTCCAGACAAAACCAACTGTTGTATTGTAGATTTTGTAGTGATATCCAAATGAAAGAAAACTACCAAGACTAGTATCCAGAATGCTCATACTAGTATTCAAGTTTTTTCACACTAATGTCCAGAAAAAACCAACTGTTGTATTGTAGATTTTGTAGTGATATCCAAATGAAAGAAAATAATATTTTAAAATAACAAACTAATATCTCATAAAACCAACTAGTATTCATAACTGCTAAACAACATATTGATATTTAAATGAAACCAACTAATATTCCAGAGCAACAAACTAAAATTCATAATAAAATGGAGTGGTTGAGATGAGTTTTTTGTTGGGGTGTGGTACTTCAACTCAAATAACTCTTTTTTTTTTAAATGTGGTATTTGTGTGTTATTTTATATTTTGAAATGTGGTATTTGGGTTACAATTTCTTGTTTGGATGAAGATTTATTTTACATGTCATATTCTATTAAAAGTAACAATATGCTCTTCATTTATAGTCGCCTTCTACCCCTCTAAGGTTACAAACAAAAAAATCAAACTCTTCAACGACCAAAATAACTAGACAAGTATTACAACAAGGAATTCGTTTGATCATTGGTTGCCATGTTGTATCATCAAACATGCAACAAAACTGCAACAAGTGTAGCAGCAAACCAACAACAAAACTAAAAGCACCAAACAACACAACACCAGCAACAAACCTCCCAAACACATATGAGCTTACAATCATTCAAAGGTAGACAGATCTTTACTTTCCTTTCCCATGTATACAAATGGTACCAACACGGAAGCTTATGAAACATACATTCATCATTTGCACTTTTCAATTTTTAATTCAAAACAACTACATACAAGCAGCATACATCATACTCGTTTTTTGCTAAGCTCCACCATGATTCGAAGTGAGCCTAACAGAAAACAATCATAATTCTAATCTAACTCTCCAGTGGCCGCAACCTGCAAAAAACCCAACACCAAACTCTTCCAGTGGCAGAAATCGGCAAAATGAATATAAAACCCTCAAATAAACCATAGAACTCTTGAGGTGGCGCCGTGGCGGGTTCTGCTCTCCAACTAGATCAGTCTAGAATTAACACCATGTCTCTTCATAGTTCTATCAATCTCAGATAGTATAGCCGAATCAGAAATGGTTTGTTCCTTCTCCAAAACGTCTTTGGATGGTTCCATCGGGTCCAGCAAAACTGTATTACAAATGCAAAAGTACATAATTAACAAGAGTGGGATATAGAGCTCAAGTAAGAAGTACCTATTAGCAACAACATATAGTAGCAAACACATCAAATCCAAGCTCCCCTGCCGCCGTCTTCTTTTCCTCCTCCCTAGAAGAAATCGTCTTCTCCTTTCCTGCTAGCGAAAAAGAAGAACCCAATAAGCTTATCCTTGTCAAATTGAGCCTCTTGCCCATTTCCCCACAACCCGAACTAGAATCCCCTGTTGATGCTACTGCAAAAGAAGAATCCCCTCACAACCCCTCCCAGTTGGCAAAGCCGAAGAAGAACTCCGCTACCTCCACTGATGAGACCCAAGAGGTTAGTCCTCTCCCTCCACCGCCACACTCTCCGCTTCGCCTAATTTTAACTGCCATCAACCTGCCACCATCTCCTCTTCCATACCTCTCGTCCTTCGTCATCGCCTACTAACTTGTCTTCTCTCTGTTCGTCGCAACCTAGGGTTCTGATTCTGACTACTCATTCTAATTTGCATGTAGAAAGGAATATGAAATTAGTAGACGTCTCAATTAATTTTGTTTCCCAATTGAAGAATCGAAGGATTCAAAGAAAGGAGGAAGAAGGAAGGAGAGAGGAGAGGACAGGAGAAATTCGTCTCTGGTCTGCGTGAGGAAGGAAAGAGAAAAGGGAGGAGAGGATAGAGTTGAAATAAACTGGCAACACAACGCGTTATTTCAGAATATTTGGGGGGGGGGGGGGGGGGGGGGGGGGGGGGTACCCAGTTATTCTCAATACCGCATTTTCACATTTTTTCAAAATAACGGATGCTCACCAATTGTATTCTAAGTGAGTAAAATGATATCCAGATAATATGTTCACCAATTTTCATGCAATTTAACCAACAAGTATCGACAATCAATACAAATTGTATTCTAAGTGAGTAAAATGATATCCAGATAATATGTTCACCAATTTTCATGCAATTTAACCAACAAGTATCGACAATCAATACAAAGTGTATCCTAAGTGAGTAAATTGATATCCAGATAACATATTCACCAGTTTTCATGCAATTTAACCCATAATTATCGACAACGACAATAAAAACAAATTGTATTCTAAGTGAGTAAAATGATATCCAGATAACATGTTCACCAATTTTGCATTCAATTTAACCAACAAGTATCGACATTCAATACAAACTGTATCCTAAGTGAGTAAAATGATATCCAGATCACATATTCCCTAGTTTTCATGAAATTTACCAAACAAGTATCAAAATTCATTTCTAAATGTATAAAAAAGCTTATCACTTACTCGCAAGAAGTTGATATCTTCCAAAATCCACACACACTTCTTGCCCTTAGCCCTAACATAAGATTCTTTTCTCTTGCTAGCAGCCAACTCGACCTTAAGTTCACGGACAACATAAACACTCTAATCATACACCCAACGTCCTCAACCCTGTCAGTTATGTATGTAGCAAAGTTTAGCTTACACATGCGGGTATATGTTGGAGTGAGCAATGAACCAGTCGCTAGCAACAAGAACTGCTTCACAACCATCGCAATAGGTGGTCTAGGACCTTTTTTTTGGAATGGCCAACTCCCGCAACTCCTTCCGTTGAATATTGCGGCTCCGGTTACCAATCATGTCGATATCATCGCTAAAACTATCGAGCATCTTCTCCTCGCGTTGCTTGACCTCAATCTCAGCCCCACTAATAGGAAGGTCGTATACATGTGCCACATCCTTAGGTGCGATGGTCAACATCCTCTTCGAGTCTTCTTCAACGAAAATGAAACTATTGGCTGAGAGGTCATAAGCAACCATCAAGTTGTCCAAGAAGGTTGTGTTAATTTTCGACATTCGAAGGTCCAATGGGCCACCAAATCCGACCTTCTCTTGCTTGCAAGCTGCATAGTAGTCTATGACCTTGAGTAGGGAAAAGGTGGAGCAGCAAAATCTGAAGTACGAGATCCCTTCTTGGCCATCATCTTCTTCCTCATTTTTTTGCTGAACTTCTTCTGGTTCTTCAGCAGGCATCACGCAAAATCCCTAAAAATAGTTATGGAATATATTTAGTACACATCCCAGACTAATATCCCCAGTAACAGAACTGATATCGTCACATGCCAGTAGTAGTATTCAGGAGTCAACCAATTCCTCCAATTAGTATCATGGTTAACCAAAAGTGTATCCTAAGGTAGTTAAATGATATCCATGAAACCCAATTACCATACTACAGAGAATAGTATCCAAAGTGGCGTAAATGATATCCATACATCACACGGGAAGTATGAATCCAACTTAGGCAACTAGTATCCACATTCAAGCTCGAGTTGTATCCGAAATTAGTATCGACAACAATTACTAATTGTATCCGAAGTGAGTAAACTGATATCCACGGAACCCTAAATCAAGCTATCGACAAACGAATCCCATGAACCCGAACTTGGCATTAGATCCACCAAAACCCAGAATCCCCATATTCGAATCCATGAAACCCTAAATCTAGTAATCGAGAAACAAAATCCAGAACCCCCATATTCGAATCACATGAACTCTAATCTAACAAATCAATAAATCAAACCCAGATCTCCACAAACAAAATCCATGAGACCCTAACTTCGTATCTACAAACAAAATCAAGAAATAAGGAGAGGGGAAGACGCCTACATGAACAACTTCGTCCTCCTTGCATACCACCCGCTACCGGCGACGTCATCTTCCTTCTTGGTCGATGACGCCTTCTTCTTCTTCTTCTTTCCTCAAGCACAACTACAACCTTCCAAAACATCCTCCTTTTCGTAATTATATAGTCGTCGTCGTTGCCGCTGGTCTCAAGCCGTCGTTTTCTTCCTCGCAGACGTCTACTGAGAGGATTTGTGGTGTTTGTTGGGAGAAGAAGAAACGGGAAAGAGAGAGGAAATGGGAATTTTTGGAGAGAGTGGGGAGAGTGAAAACCGCGAACTGATGGAGAGAGAAGATAGATTTGGGTTAAATTTTTGGTTTTTTTTTTAATTTGTGGGCCCGCTTCTCCCATCTAAAAGAGGCTCGTCTTGGGCATGCCGAGCTGGCCCTCTCTTCCCCCCAGGCGACGACGCTGGTCAGCCTGTCCCTCCGATCGCGGCTCTACCAACTTGGAGAACTATCCATCCATGTGAGTATCTACTAACAATTTAACCTGTTAGTAGATTAACTTTATTACAACCAACCGTGCACACACCATTCAATCGATCAATCGCAATCCCACACATAAAAAACACTTTGCATTCATCACAAGCAATCATTGATTAGGCATCATTCATGAATAAATTAAGCATGTAATGCACATCCCCCATACTTAAAGGGACACAATGTGGGTATCATAACTCTATATTTGTAGGTGTGGTTAACCGAAAAATGTGGGACAAGTTTGGATATGGATAGTGGGTTGTGGTAACATAATTCTATATTTGTAGGTATGGTTAACCGTAGAATATAGGGCGGGTAAGGGGTAACCACACCCACCCCTAATTTAAAGAATTTTTCTAGAAATAGCACTGTTTAATTTTTTTTCTTCCAAAAATAGCACCCAACCCCCAAAAATTCCAAAAATAGCACCCTTTCCCAAAAACCGCCACCCGACCCAGCGGTTTACATGAAAACCACAGGGTGGGGGCGCGATTTTCAATGAAAACCGCACGGGATTGGACAGGTTTGGCCCAAAACCGATGCACCACCTAGCGTTTTGGTCCATAATTTTTTTTTAAAATCAACCTAGGTGGAAACTTCAAACGAACGTATCTTTTTGTTCGGCTATCCGATCGTAGCGATTTTTTTTATTTCGCATAATTTTTTCGAAATCTTGCAAGACGCAAACTGCCGCAGGCGATTTGGTCCCGAAAAAATGTCGTTTCTACCCCGAACGAGCTTTTTTTAGATTTCGTCAAACCGTCACAATAAACAGCTAAACAACTGTGACAAGACCACTTATGACATTTATTCGAAAAAAATATATATAATACAAACCACCGGGTGGGGGTGCGGTTTGCAACCAAACCGCCCCGGCCACACGCGGTCAGCAAAACCACCCCCTACCTGTGTTGTTTTCGTGAAAGGGTGCTATTTTTGGAATTTTCGGGGTAGAGTGCTATTTTTGGATTTTTTTTAAACAATGCTATTTCTGTCTTAATTTAAATCCCCAAATGAGACATGTGGGGTCGTTTGGTTTTGGTAGTTGTTTGGTTTGAAAGTTACAATGCATACAGTCTATAATACATTATTTTTTTGAGTTTTTTGCACAAACAATACATGTATTGTTTGCTTGAAATGACAAAAACTATCACTCGAAAATGAGTGATAGTTAAATCTCATGTTTTTTGTGAGATTATTGTTTGATTGTGATTGTTGAGCTTTTTTTCTTCTTTCAACTATGTCCATACCTTTTAAAAAAAACAACACACTCAAAAAGAAATATAAATTATTTAATACTACAATAACTATCATATAAACCAAACAATGTAAACTACAATACACTGATTTTCTTATATCCTCCAATAATATATAGTAGAGTTTTGTCTACTTTTTTCTATTTCAAACTTCCTGCAACGAGAGTGAAAGTAGGACGGGTATTTTTGTCTTTACAATTAATTAATTATTTCTTATAAAAATATCAGCATTAGGATTTGAACTCGAATCTCTTCAAACAAAGACAAAAATCACAACCAATTACACTAAACAAATTTGTTGTGTCTTTTTTAATACAAAACATACACGAAGTGACACTCTGAAAATCAGTGGACTATTCCATCATGATTAGCAAGCCCATTAAGTCTACCGTTTGTATTTTTAAGGTGCTTGATACTGCAATTTTCATAGCAAAGTTTCATGTATTTTTATGGAAGAAACTAATTATATTACTACGTGTTGTGTCCTTGCATTTTTTAATTTATATTTAAATTTAGTACTTTTTTATCTTTGTTCTTAACTTTTTCTAACTTCCTCTGAAATTTCCTCCATCGTGCAATAGTTTTCGCCCCTTTCACTTTATAAGTCTGCTTTTGAAAATCAATCTTCCGGTATCTCTTGGCACTACGATTTTATTGTTAGGGATTTAAACTGGACAAGTAGAAGATTTCAACTCCAATATCAATCCATGGAGAACAGAATGGAGTTGCAGAACGAAGATTAGAAATTGAATTTTTGGTTGAAACATACGCCTCTTGAGATTGAAGATAATGTTGATAAAATTTTGATTGTACAACACAGAGTGGTGGCTATTGTATCTTTAGATTTATGGTTTTTGCAGATACCAGAACCTATATCTATCTTAAAACAAGGAATCATTGATTGATTTACTGAAGTAGATTGGTCGATTTTTTATTCAACCTACTGAGATTGATAGATAAGGAGTGTCTAATTTGTTCCTTATACTTTGATAGAGTCTATCGGTATATTGGAGGTAACCCTAATTTCGGCTTTTGCTCTCAAGTTTGATGGTCCCCTCTTAGCTGAGTTGTTAGTATATAGTTGACTTGAATCAACAACTCTTCGTTTCTTTTTGATTAGTTGCATATTGTTCCTAAAATTAGAGCATTGAACCTTTATGTAGGAATGCAAGGTTTAAGATTTAGTTTCAAACTATTTATGGTTCGCGTGGGGATTTTAGTGAACTTTTATACTCTATCTTTCTTGACAATCAACTAACCAATAGCATTTTACCGGTGACTTAATTATCATTATGAAAATGGGATCAATGATACATTTTTTTATATTTTATATTCTTAAATGCTTATGATATTTTTCCAAATGTTCGACACACACACACACATATATATATATATATATATATATTCTTTCTTTATGTATCATCTCGATAGAAATATTGTCAATAAAATTATACGGGTTGATAGATATAAACGCGACACAAAAATATAAATAATCAAAATATGAATATTCCGGCCAACAGGCCAAGTTATAAGCTAGTATATATATAATATTATATAGGCAAAATACAGTTGTATATCCACAACTATCAGGTTTGTGACAAATATATCCACAACTATCGAAATACACGAAATATCCAAAAATCGGAAGGTTGTGTGACAAATCTATCCACTTCCGTCTGAAACTATAACGGCGTGTCAGATGACGTTAAATTGACTAATGGAATGTTGAATCCATGCCAGCTCACCTGCCATAGAAGCCAAAAAGCAACCAAACTTTACACGTAGATGCCAAATAGGCTAGTTGAATAAACTTAAAATACAACTGTATATCCACAACTATCAAGTTTGTGACAAATATATCCACCACTATCAAGTTTGTGACAAATATATCCACAACTATCGAAATACACGAAATATCCATTTCCGTCCACTCCGTCAGTTAACTTGATGACTGGACAAACGGTGGATGCTTAGTTGACGTGTTTCTGACCCCACGGAATGACGTGGATTAAAAGAGAAAAAAATTAAAAACCCTAAAACCCACAGACATCGAGACTAAAAATCCAACCTAGAAACATGCCCGATAACCACTGATCCTCCTTCGATCTACGCCTCCACCCCCAAATAACCCTATCCCAAGCCCAGATTTTGATTCCAACCACAATCCCCAACCATTGCCTCCCTTTTACTCCGACGGCTTCCATGCAGTCGGTGCCATGGTGATACCAAGTTTTAATCTAACCAAATCGCCAACAGAGAAGACTACAGCATCGAGGTCTAACAAATAACGGTGTAAAGTTTGTTTGCTTTTTGACTTATGGCAGGTGAGATGACATCGATTCAGCATTTCGTTAGTCTATTTAACGTCGTCTGACATGTCGTTATAGTTTCAGACGAAAGTGGATAGATTTGTTACACAACCTTCCGATTTTTGGATATTTCGATAGTTGTGGATATATTTGTCACAAACCTGATAGTTGTGGATATACAACTGTATTTTGCCTATTTTTCTCTCTTTTAATCCACGTCATTTAGTGGGGTCAGAAGAACGCCAACTAAGAATCCACCGTCTGTCTAGTCATCAAGTTAACTGACGAAGTTAACGGAGTGGACGGAATTGGATATTTCGTGTATTTCGATAGTTATGGATATATTTGTCACAAACCTGATAGTTGTGGATATACAGCTGTATTTTGCCTATTATATATGAATAGATGACAATACATCAATTTAACTAAAAATGTAAAAGAAAGAGAGAAGTAATCTTTCTCTCCTCTTCTTTTCTCATCAAACTACTCTGCTATCTCGTTTTCCTTCGAGCCGTGTGACCTAATTAGGACGCCGTAGTCTACTTTCGTCGTGCGAGGAATGCCAGCCTCGCGCTCAATCATCAGTTTGTATTTTCTGCCTTTTGTCGTCAAAAAACCGTTTCCGGTTCCGAATTTGGTGTCCGTTTGGCGACATTAGGGTTTCTGGATTGGGTTTTGGGAGTCTTAGGTGTTTGTGGTGTTTGTGTCAATTGAAATTGCTTGTTAGCTAGTGGATCTGCAGCTGGCTGTGTTTGACGTGATTTCATCCTCTGTGTGATACTTTAGCGACCTTTTCTCCCCTGGCATCAATACAATTTACGTAGGGATTGAATTTTGCGCTAAATTCAGTCGACATTGTGAAGTACAGTAGTTCTCGTGCTTGCTCAGTTCGTTTCCATTTCTCAAGCACTTATTTTATGTGATTTGACTACTTTGCTGCTGTTGATTCTGATCTCAGAAAGTCAAACTTTCATTTTATGCGCCTGCTGCGACAAAGTACTTCGAGTATGAAATTAAAGTGATCTTCGTTCATTTGTCCTCAGGGTCTCTCTTTCTCTTGCCAGTTCCCTTCTTATCTGAAGCTATTGCGAACATAATGTTCTATATACCTTCTAACTAAGAAGTAAACGTAGTTCATCTTGCACTTCTGTTCATTCATTGCCTTCTAACTGAAGCCACTTACTCTTTTATTTCATGTTTAGGTTTTGGCTCTTCAAGATAGTGCAATTTATGTGTGGTAGTAATAATCATATCGAATCCATGGTAGACAATGGCCCTCTTTAGGAACTATTCATCTGAAACAATAACAAACAGGCCAGCTGAAGGAAAGGTTCATACTCCTGGTAGAATGGTTGGAAGCGAGGATGTTGATGGGTCTTCGAGTGAAAGAGAATTCGATATGAACATGGATCCACGGTACGAAAGTGAGGCTGAACTAGGGGAGAGTAGGATGCAGAATGATGGAGTTCCTGACCATGAATCTGGTAACCCTATTTGTTATGCATTAAGTGATAACATCCTCACTTGTTCCAGCTGTACGTCGAGTCTCTTGCTCGTTTTCAAGGCGGATCCCCTTATATTTACCCCTTGTATGAATTGGGAGATTTGCCGCAGGTTCACACTAATCCAGTCACTCTCTTTTTTGTTTTCCTTCTCTCCCCTTCTTTTCTTGCTTTGCTTTTACTTATAGTATGAAGCAAAGATCTCTCAGTGTAGCTCGAGCTGACCTTTCTAAAAATATCATGTCAGGCATTTGCACGGCTGAGTGCAGTCTATGGTGGTACATATATGTTGAACAAACCTGAATGCAAGGTACTCAATCATGTGTTTGGCTCTGTGACCTAAACTTAGATAGCAAAATGCTACTTGGACCTTTCTTCCCATTAGCAATATCTGACTGGATGGCTTTGGTGTTTTGGGTGGAGTTTGATGGTGAAGGCAAAGTTATTGCGTCACCTCAGAAGGAGAAATTGCTAAGTGTAAGAAAGTGGTTTGTGATTCGTCCTACTTGCCAGGAAAGGTAACATATTTCTTCGGGGCTAATGAGTATGGACATGTATAGCTTTTTTGCTTTGGACTTGTATTTCCAATTTAGTATTTACTGAAATCTATGTGGATATGAACAGGTTAGAAAGGTCGGGAAAGTTGCAGGGCAATTGCCATCATGAGCCGCCCAATTCCCAACACCAATGACTCTCACTCAGTGCAGGTTATTCTTCCACAAAAGCAGTTGGGTTGCAAATCAAACATGTAAGCTATATACTTCTAATCCTTTTCCATTTAATTATTTTCTGAACCAGTAACTGTTTTAGAGCTATGTTGTGTGATTAGGTTGGTTATTATATCATAAATCTGACAAAATATCCTACATCCTGCTACAAATTATTAGTCTACGAAAAGAAGGGTATCGGTCTGGGCCTTAAGGACATTAGTCTGGGCTCTATTGATATTAGTCTGGGTCTTTCAGATATCTGTCTGGGTCTTTCGGATATTAGTATGTGATTTGCTGATATTTGTCCAAATAAAAAAGGTATTTGTCTGTGCTTTAAGGATGTTAGTCTACCAAAAGACAGATATTTATCTGGGAGGTTACAATATATTTTTCAATCAGAATTTATGTTGGTAATTATATCCAACATCTGCTACAAACCATCATCCACCCCTAAATATTATCCACCCCTAAATATTATCCAATCCTAAGTTCAGTTTTACAAACCAATATCACACTACACAAGTCTAAAATCAACTTCTCTTCTTTTTCCTTTTTTCCCCTCTTTCTTCGTATTCCAATCTTTTGCACCTTGAATTATTTCATCGGTCCAGCAGTTATAGTCCCATAAAATGAGGTTGGCTGCAATCCGTGCTCGTTGTTCCTCCACATGTGGCTGCTTGTGCCAACTTGCTTTATATTCCACTAGAAGGTGACCCGCCCATTGCTCCATGTAAAGGCATGCAAATACACCGTAATCATCATTGCCTACTTGCTGAGGAACGTCGGCAATGTTGAATGGCCACTCATCCAATGCTCAATCGACCCCCTGCTCTTTGAGGAACGCTGTCTCATACTTAAAAATTATTTTCCCAATCGGTTCATGATCCTCCTTAGCCACTCGGGCATTGGGCTTTATGCAGTCGAGTAAGAAGATTTTCTTATTCTTCATGTCAACCACGTATACCCAGTAGTGATCATTTAGATACATTGGAAAAAAGATCTGAAATACAAAGCAGTTAGTGAGTTAATCATTGACCAATATCCTAATAACCCAGATTAATATTTCAACAAACCAGAATAATATCCTATAAACCCATACCAATATAAAGGAAAATCAGAAAAAAAAATCCAAACATTGAAGACACTTACGTAATCACATCTTTCCAAGTTTTCCCGTTTAAAAATTGGATAACTTTTGTGCATAGAAATATACGCAGGGAGTATCGCCTTCGCCATGGGTTGTTTTTTGACAGCATTAGTAACGACATGTTGCTATTTAGAAGAGACAACAATATCAAATTAGACATTTTCAATATAAAGAGGATCTAAGTAGTGAAGATAATACTTACTACATAGCTCCATGGGAAGACAATTCTCTTCACCACCTCCTTGCGTACTTCTTTGTTATTTAGGAATAGCCCGTATACTACAAGTACTTGACTATGCAACCAATTTTTACCCTTCAATGGAAGTAGTTGGGAACGGGTAAAGTTACCGGTTGGAGTATCCACGACAAATTTGCCACTGTAAGACACAAATGAAAACAAGATTAGAAATGTGTGTTGGACAAATTGAAATTGGTGATTAAATAACTTCTAGCAAACTAACTCGTCTTTAGCAGTGGTGCTGAAGATGAACTCAACCACTTGCAGAGCCGTATCGTCGAGTTTCGTCGACAGAGTCTTTGGCAAAACGTACACCGATTCGCCGAATGGGTGGTGTTTAGACCTATCAAACTCTGGAGTTTTTACGGTTGACTTCCATGCTTCCGGTGTGATAGAGTATAAATACTATGCCTCCTCATCAGTCCTAATTCTCTGAGAGATGATAATATCATCGTCGCTATCCTCCATCCTCTCACATGCTACTGCTATAAGCTCCTCCTCGGATGGTCCTGCTTCTCCTTGCGTCAGAACCTCAGTAGAATGATCGACCACCGTAGTCGGAGATGTTGTGATACTCTCCTGAGTAGCAACAGTTGACTGGACAGGTATATGCAAAACATTGCCAAAGGCTAGTATCTTCTAAAAAAGAAACAAATATCCTGGCAGCCCAGACTAGTATCCATAGAAAAAGAAACAAATATCCAGGAAGTTCATGCTAGTATCCACAGAAAAAGAAACAAATATCCTGGCAGTCCAGGCTAGTATCTACTGGTAAGGAAAATATTACCATAGTCGGAGATGTCCCGATACTCTTTTTAGCAGCAGCAGTGGCCTGGAAACCAATCTGCATCACATCAGCGAATGTCGTATCTGGGTCGGTATAATGTATGACCATTGACTCTGACTCCACCACTTGATCAAAAGTCGACACAATGGCAGGCGACTCTATCTGCTGAACTACTGCATCAAACACAATGGCCGGCTTAAGAAATGACTCCGACTCCACCACTTCCCCAACAGTCGACTTACCGACTAACTCAAACATGTCATCACTTGTTGATGTAACACCTGGCACCTCCAACTCCTGAACAACTGGAAACACTATCTTCTTACGTCCTTTCCTGGAGTACATACGGCTAAACATGTTGTTGTCTCTCACAGTACCTTGACTAACCTCCTCCATGACAACTACCGGATCTTCCTCCTCCATGACAACTACCTCCTCTTCCATTTTTGCTTTTGCTGCTGCTACCAAAGACGAAGAAAATATTGTCAATCTGTCCCGATTCCTGTCAAGCTGAGCACCCACAAAGTCAAGCTAGAAAACGGTTGCAAGCATATAAACGTTATTATCCGGACTGCCCAGATAAGTATCTAACAATTAAGCAACGAATATCCTGAAGAACACAAATTAATATCCGCTTGTGAAAGATTTAATATCCTGAAGTTGTGTACTAGTATCCAGAAAGCTCATAAAGCTCATAATACTATCTACTTATGTCGTAACTAGGCTTTAAGGAACTATTAACCTGTGCTTTCATTCCAATATCCATAATGAAAAAATATCCAGATTGAAAATAACTACTACCCGTTATAAAAACAACTGTCATTCATGCAATTCATAAATAATAACCAAAACAACTACACACCAATATCCAAAATCAACAGAAAACAAACTTTTGTTCGATACAACTATTGTTCAAAGCCATTCCAACATGACAATTATAGCATTCTATCAAGAAAGCCATTTCAACATGGCAATTATATCATCCTATAAAGAAACATTAAAAACCCTTAATGATGTTGAAACATGCAAAATTCAATTCTTGTCTTGCTGGTGTTTAATGACTACCCTTCTGACATTTTCCCACCATAAATCCCACTTATGCATCACTTTAGATGATTGTCTTTTAAACTGGAAATCGTGGGTTTGAACAATAGTTGTATATAGTAAACTAAATTTTTTGGGATGTATGTGTAGTTTAAGGCACTGCAGTCCTTGACTGAAAAAGTGATGCATAAGTGGGATTCATGGCAGGAAAGTGTCCGAAGGGTTGCCATAAAGTGTCAGCAAGACAAGAATTGAACTTTGCATGTTTCAACATCATTAAGGGGTTGTACTATTTCTTTATAGGATGATATAATTGTCATGTTGAAATGACTTTCTTGATAGAATGCTATAATTACCATGTTGGAATGGTTTTGAATAATAGTTGTATCGAACACAAGTTTGTTTTCTGTTGATTTTGGATATTGGTGTATATTTGTTTTAGATATTATTTATGAATTGCATGAATGACAGTTGTTTTTATAACGGGTAGTAGTTATTTTTAATATGGATATTTTGCATTATAGATATTGGAATGAAAGCACAGGTTAATAGTTCCTTAAAGCCTAGTTACTACATAAGTAGATAGTATTTTAGGCTTTCTGGATACTAGTACAAAACTTCAGGATATTAAATCTTTCACAAGCGGATATTAATTTGTGTTCTTCTGGATATTCGTTGCTTAATTGTTAGATACTTATCTGGGCAGTCTGGATAATAACTTTTATATGCTTGCACCCGTTTTCCAGCTCGATTTTGTGGGGGCTGAGCTTCACAGGAATCGGGGCAGATTGACAGTATTTTCTTCGTCTTTGGTAGACGCAACAAAAACAAAAATTGAAGAGGAGATAGTTGTCATGGAGGAGGAAGATCCGGTAGTTGTCATGGAGGAGAAAGATCTGGTAGTTGTCATAGAGGAGGAGGTTAGTCAATGTACTGTGAGACAACAACATGTTAAGCCACGTGTACTCCAGGAAAGGACGTAAGAAGACAGTGTTGCCAGTTGTTCAGGAGTTGGAGGTGTCAGTCGTTACATCAGGTGATGACATGGTTGAGTTAGTCGGTAAGTCGAATGGTGAGGAAGTGGTGACGTCGGAGTCATTTCTTGAGCCGGTCATTGTGTTTGATCCGGTAGTTCAGCAGATGGAGTCGCTGGCCATTGTATCGACTTTTGATCAAGTGGTGGAGTCAGAGTCAATGGTCATACATTATACTGACCCGGATACGACATTCGCTAATGTGATGCAGATTGGTTTCCAGGCCACTGGTGCTGCTGAAAAGAGTATCGGGACATCTCCGACTACGGTAATATTTCCCTACCAGTAGATACTAGCTCGGACTGCCAGGATATTTGTTTCTTTTTCTGTGGATACTAGCATGAGCTTCATAGATATTTGTTTCTTTTTCTATGGATACTAACCTGGGGTGAAAGGATATTTGTTTCTTTTTGAGTAGATACTAGCCTTTGGCAATGTTTCTTTTTCTATGGATACTGCTGCTCAGGAGAATATCACAACATCTCTGACTACGGTGGTCGATCTAACTACTGAAGTTCTGACGCAAGGAGAAGCACGACCATCCGAGGAGGATCTTATAGCAGCAACATGTGAGAGGATGGAGGATAGCAACGATGATATTATCATCTCTGAGAGAATTAAGACCGAGGAGGAGGCAGAGTATTTGTACTCTTATCACACCGGAAGCATGGAAGGCAACCCTAAAAACTCCAGAGTTATATAGGTCTAAACACCACCCATTAGGCTAATCAGTGTACGTTCTGCCAAAGACTCTATCGACGAAACTCGACGATACGACTTTGCAAGTG